CTCTCCCTCTCCCCTCTCCCTCTTCCTCTCTCTCCCTCTCCCTCTCTCTCTCTTCTCTCTTTCCTCTCTCTCCTCCCTCTCCTTCCCTTCTCTCTCCCTCTCCCTCTCTCCTCTCTTTCATCCTCTTCTCCTCTCTCTTCCTCCCGTCCTCCTCTCTCTCTCTTCTCTCTCTCTCTCTCTCTCTCTCTCTCTCTCTCTCTCTCTCTCTCTCCTCTCTCCTCTCTCTCTCTCTCTCTCTCTCCTCTCTCTCTCTCTCTCTCTTTTATTAATTCACAAGCATTTGTAACATTTTTTGTAAATATATTACCTTTCATCCTTATTTCACTGTACAGTATTCATATATGGTTAGTCTCATTTACGATATGAATTGTAATTGATAATACCAAGTGATTGTTGATAATTTACCTGTTACAATACTTTAGAGTTGATCCAAGTTCAGTATTCAAAAGACTGTAGCTGTTATTGCACACACATATCTATGCACTTGCCAACATATACCCTTTATTGTATTTTGATTATTTCTTGGTTGCATAAAATCATCCCATAATACATATAATTGAGGCTAAACGTATATTAAGACGCCGATCATAAAAACTAGTGACCTCTACATTTCCTTCTGGTTTTGAGGTTGGAGTTTAGAATAATACAGACCAAAGAAGGCAAAGGTAGCTGTTGTATATGAGATGCAATAATGAAAAGAAAAAAAAGAAAAACATTTGTACACAAAATGTATCCCATCCAATGCCAAAATCATCTCAACAGGGTCACACTTGTACCGCAAGTATTATGAAAACATTCATAAAAGGGAATAGAAAATTATTTGGGACCTTTGTTAGCTATGAACTTGGGCCAGATTTGTTTCATGGCAGATTTGTTATATACTGTACCATATGATTCATGGCAGGGTTCATATATAAAGATAAAAGATGTCATGGTATTCCCTATGTTGTATATTACAACTATAGTTTTTGGAAAGATAAAAAAGAAAATAATATTTTTAAAGACTTCCAGTTCAGCTTTTGCAGACATCATGTCAAATAATAAAAAATGGTAGAGGATTTCTGCATTTTCGTATCAGTAAGACTTTTTAAGAAAAGAAACATTTGTAGAATGTGCACTTTTATTTATTGCTTCTTGTTCTCTGTAGATATACATAAAAACACAATACAGTAATTGGCTCTGGACTGTGATGTGGTGTTTTTATGTTCAGAACATTTCTAAGATTTATTTTATGATGCCAAGTCATCCACTCCTGTTTCAAGAGTATTAGGAAACAGGGTAGGAGAAGACAGCACTTGAAGTATTGCTCAATCTATTATTCTCATTATAAGGAAATTATCTTATCTCTAGGACTTACTGTTGAAATATAAAATCTCACAGGATGAGATAATCCAATTATTTTGCTGTCTATTGGTTTGTCAGCACATGATGCTTGTTTACTTGAACAGTGGAAAGCTTTAGGAACTCAAAATTACTAAATGAGGAGTGTATATTAATACGCCAGTCCTGTTCCTTTTGTTTAGCTCCGCTGGCTATTCTTTCCTAGGTTTAATTCTCAATTGTAATAAAATTAAGTATGATATATATATATATATATTGCTTTAATTTCATATCACGTTTTAAGATAAGAAGATTATTGATGATACACTCAGCTGCAATGATTATGCAGACATAAGGTACTACTGGAAAACAAATAACAAACATTTGTCATTAGCTTTCTCTTACGAAAATTGTTTATTGTAGGACTTGATGCGTATGTCATCACTTTGAGAAAACTATTGTAAACATTACATTTGATACATGAAAAGAAAATATGATTATGATGTTAATAACAAAGCAAAAGTGATTAACTCCATAACTAATTAAAATATAAAAATAATTTGTCATTTATTTCTCCATATTGGGTTATTTTATCACACAGGCAAGAAAGAAAAGCTATCCCAGGAATAAAATGATTTGGACTAAGAAAATAGATTTCCACCCAGGGAAAAATCTGTAAATCCTCCTCCAGTGTTGTTTGAGGAAGTTAACAAAATCTTCATAAAAGTCTGGATCTTGATTGCCAACAATCTGAACTACTAAAAGTATATTTGTTATGAGGATATCTTCAACATTTACACCCCCATTCCCATGCCCATTGTTGTTGCGAGGGGGAGAAAAGGAGATGAGTTATGGTCTAACATTGGGGATCTTTCCTGCTTTGGGCCTTAGCCCTTAGCTTAACCAATTTTGTACAGCCATTTTGTTACTCCTTTAACTGTTCCTTCTCTTCTCTCTCTCCTCTTCCCCTTCTATCCACTTCCCAAGGTCTAAAAGCCATATTAAATGGATGAAGGGCTGGCTTTGTGTCAGTCCTGAAGGGCCTTGGTATGTCCCTAGTCAGTCATCTAGCCTTACCTCAGTCCATTCCATGTCAACCCCTTCAGAAGACATCCCTTCCTCAACATCGTCCACTCCATCTCCTCCACAGACTTCATTTTCTCCTCCTCCCTGCAATACTACCTCACACCACAACACTCGTTCTTCCACCTGTCCTAATCCTTCTGCTACTTCTAACTGTTCAAACCTTTTGAGTACTATTTCTAGCCCTGCCACGTAGGATTGACATTTGTGTTTCCCCCACAACGCCTATTCTGGCAACACCTTCCTGTTCCAATAATGTCTCCAAAAACAA